CTCTCTCTCTCTCTCTCTCTCTCTTTCTTTCTTTCTTTTTCCAAGTCGGAGTTTCTCCATGTATCCCTGGGTGTCCTGGGACTCACTCTGTTGACTATGATGGCCTCAGACTCAGAGATCCATCTGCCTCCGCCTCACGAGTGCTGGGATTATAGGTGTGCGCATGCCACCCCCTCTAGCTGAGAAGAATGTCTATGGAGGAGAATCAGGTACTGAGTTAAAAAGAAGTCCCTGGGAGGCAGACAGAGGCAGAGTGAACAGCCCTGAAGTTATCTTGAACGGTACTGTCCCTCACACAGTCCTGCCCACCAGATTGCAGAGCCCAGGGGTGAGAATATTGAGGTGGAGACTTCAAACTTAGAATCAACTCCCTGCACTCGTCCCCTGTCCTAGTGCTCCGGAGACTCCAACCACATACTCCCAAAGACCCTCAAGGAGGCCCAGTGACAGAACCTCCCGGGGCTTGCAGTGCTGTGGAGACATTTCCTGACAGTCCATGGTAAACTCCCCTGGAGGGCTGCAAATGCAACTCAATAGTAAAGTACTTGCCACTCGCGGGCAGGCTCTGGCTGCATCTTCAGCAGCACAAGGGAAGGAAAGGGAGAGTATTTAAGTGTAGGATGCATGCATGCAGCTGCAGCATCTGGGAGGTGGAGGCAGGAGGATTGGGAGTCTAGTGCCAGAATGTGAGTTCAAGGCCACCTGAAGGTCCTTTCTAAAACCATCTGCCCCCTCAAAAAGCCCAAGAAAAAAAGAGGGAGAGAGAGAGGTTCTGTTTTTCATTTTGTGTGAGATGAGGCCTCACTATGTAGCCCTGAATGGCCTGGAACTTGCTATGTAGAGCGGACTGGCCTAGAACTCAGAGAGATCTTCCTGTCTCTGTCCCGTGAAGGCTGTTTTTTCTCTACTTGTCTCCTGAGCCTACTAATCCTTCCTGGTGTTGACTTTGTTGGTAATTACTCTGAGACCATTTTAATTAATTAATTAATTAATTAAGACCATTTGAATAAATTCATCTCCAATAAGATACTTTTTTTTGGTCTCATTTTCCCCTTGGCCCTTAAAAAGGAACATGTAATTCTTTGAGAAAGGATCTTGCTATGCAGCCCAGGCTGGCCTCCAGTTCATGGCAATCCTCCTTCCCCAGATTTCCATGTGCTGAGATTGTAGACATTTGCTACCAGACCTAGCTGATGCAGAGACATTTCTACTGCCAGGGCTTCCACTGCGGGCAGGGGTGTCGCTGTTCTGTTTTGCGTGAGTCCCTGGAAACATTAGGGTCCTTCTAGGATGAATTTGGACTTGGCAGAGCAGCAGGGTGACCGGCTTCTGGTGAGCCGACTGCCCATTGCTCCACAAGAACCTCCTCTCTCTGTTTTAAACTTGTTACACAATGTACTCCTCTTAGCAAGCCGATTTCCGCATACCAAAACCTCTTATCTGGAGTTGTTTGAAGGAACCATTTGCCCAAGCGATCCTCAGCCGTGAAACTTCTTTATTTTCCACGTCCTCTCCTACCTAAGTTTAGCAAAGCCTCTGGAATCCTTCAGAAAGAAGGGTATCAAGCCGTGAACAATCGTGAAAGGCAGTTCAAAGCCCAGGTGCTAACACTCGGGAATTCAAGCCAGATGAGACAGTCTGCGGGATCCCCTGCTGCACCTCCCTCTTCTGTTTAAGCTATAATTCCGCTGACCACTGTTCAGCCTTCCAGTCAATACGGCCTTTTCTCTATCGCTTTGTTTCATGGTCTTATGCAAACAAACCAAACTGCATTTTAAAGCCAATAAAGTGACTGCTGCTGGAACAAGGACAGCAATCGCTGGAACAAGAACTCTACTAAAGTGCCGTGCGGGGTCGAACGAGGCTAACGCACCGGCAAGGCTTTCTACGACAGCCATTCCTGTTGTGTCAGGTAACCTGTTTGAGAGCGTTTCCTTAATCTCTTGCTGTAAATCATAAATCATTTGAGAATTAGGGTGACCCATCAAATGCATCTTAACTTTCCGCCGTCATACTTGTGACGTCATACTTGTGACGTCATACTTGTCATCCTTAAATACAATCGGATGCAACTTTCCCACAGCATTCTGATTTTTCTCTGTTCCCCCCATATTCCTAACTGACCTCCCCACAATATAACAGCTCGTCTCAAACCAGCTATCTCATTGACTGTCTCACTATCTTGTTTTATTTTGTCGAGTCCAAAGTCCTGCAGAACGCTATGCCAGTCCCTAGCGAACTCAGCAGTCTGAATTACTTATGAAGCCCTGGACTCGTCACTGTGGCGATAGGAATCAACGCAACAGTTCCCATAACTCCAGCAGCAATCAGTCTGAGCATTTAATGGGTTCTTCTTAATATTCCCTCAGCGAGCTTCTGCACCAGGACCATCACAGGAGAGTCTTGCCATGGCCTCGACAACCTCACTGGTATCCGGATTGCTGGCCTTGTTCTAGGAATGAATAAACTTTCAGAAGTTACATTTAAAGACATGCTAGACTGAACACAGGTGTGGAGGGCACAGTGTTCACACGCGATGCTGTAATCATTAGGTGTTCTTGTACAGGCCGTCTTAGTTGCAAGTCAGGGATTGGTACACCCACCACAAAGAACGGCTCTGATCCGGTCTAAAGGACAAATGTTTAAGTTTCCTTCCCCGTGCTTTAAAAGAGGGCAAAAGGCACTTGCCAATTTCCACAAATTAATCCGAGCCGAATTGCCAAGTTGCAGGAGAGGACTTGCCCTTCCAGCTCCTTGCCGCCGGAGAGGGTCATTAACAGAAGTGCTAATTTCTACAATTCCACTCAGCTCCATCTGTGCCATCTTAATTCCTCGAGGTGAGCTAAAAGGGCTCCGATCGGTGGTGTCTCCGTGGAGATATTAATTGACACTTGAGATTTCTTTTTACATTTTTTTACATTGTTGCCCATTTACCCGGCCAGATTCCTTGCTCACACCTCACAGAGTGGTGGATTATGGAACTAGTAGCATTAATCTCCTGTCCTCTAAAACCGGATGCTTGAAGCATATGAAGCTTGTTATGGAAATTCTGGGTAGTATTAACGACAGGTAACCACACTTGACAAGTTATGTTTAGACCTTGAATTTTGTTACCCATACAAATAGGAATTTCTTGCACTCCCACGGTTTAATTTATGATTTCCTTACCCTTCTCCATAGGTTTCACAGACCATTGGTTGTAATAAAGACCAGGTGGCCAAGAAGATTCATTAACTATCACAAGGATATCCATATCTACCCAGCTTACTCCTGTGTTAACTGGAGGAGTACAGATATAGGCCTGATATGTACAGTTGGCCCCTGTTACCCGGCTACCTGTACAGTTATCACAGACAGCACAGCTAGGAACAGGGTTGTAGCATCCTGGGTTGTTTCTGAGCCTGTGGAACAATCGCCTCCCTTTGTCACACAAACTCTTACGCTGTCCACGGTGGGAGGATCAGCTGTCTGATTCAAAGGCCTTTCTTTCTCAGAGTCATGTCTCCCATATCAGCAGCCCGGACATCCAAGAGACTCCTCTTCTTCTTAACTTTGATGATATCCACAGCCTTTTGTCTCCTGCAGAAGCATAAGCATACCCTCGGCCCCATCTTACCCTTTCTCTGCTTTCAATTTTGATGTTAAAACATCTTTATAAAAGCTGGGCAGTGGTGGTGCACGCCTTCACGCCTTTAATCCCAGCACTCGGGAGGCAGAGGCAGGCGGATCTCTGTGAGTGCAAGGCCAGCCTGGTCTACAAGAGCTAGTTCCAGGACAGCAGGGGTACACAGAGAAACCCTGTCTCAAAAAAAATTACCATCTTTAATTCTTTCTTTTCTTTCAGGTTTTTGTTTGTTTGTTTGTTTTGTTTTGTTTTTCGAGACAGGGTTTCTCTGTAGCTTTGGAGCCTGTCCTGAAACTAGCTCTCATAGACCAGGCTGGCCTTAAACTCACAGAGATCCGCCTGCCTTTGCCACCCTAGTGTTGGGATTAAAGGCATGCACCACCACAGCCCGGCTAAAGATGGTAATCTATCCCTGGGAGTCCACATACCCCCTTCTGTTTAACAAGCATCTCTTTCAGAATGCGTTTGGATCTTTCAACAGTTGCTGGTCCTACAGTAATCCTGTAATGTGTTTTATGTTATAGCTTGCAAAACAAACAAACAAACACCCTTCATTTTATTAGAAACATATGCAGGGGCATTATCAGTTTAATTTGTTCAGTACGCCCATTACAGCCATTGTTTCCAGTAAATGAGTAAATATAGAATCAGTCTTTTCAGGACTTATGGCAGATGTCCATTGAAATCCACAGTTTACATCAATGGTAAAATAAATATATTTTAATTTTTCAAGTTCTGTTAAATGAAATACATCCACTTACCAAATTCATTTTTTGTGTGTATGTACCTTTAGGATTACTCCCTGCAGGTAAAGGAATTTGATTATACAATGAACAAACAGGGCCTTTTTTTTTTTTTTTTTTTTTTGGTAATTTCTTTAGCTAGTTAGTCATGTAATGGTAATTTTTTTCTTTAACCTTTACTATTGATATGATGTTTTTTTATGAAATTCAAAAGCTTCTAACACATTTCCTCTCAGTAATTGATCAATTTCATCATTTCCTTTTGCTAATGGCCCAGGCGATCCAGTATGAGACCCAATATGAGGGATATGTAGAGGAAAATTTCTATCCTGATTGCCTGTTACTGCTGCGTAAATAGCAACGTCAATTCTGAATCATCAGGATAAGTTCAGAAATTAATACATGCAGTACAACCCCTTCAGCATAGTGAGTAATATACTAAGAGATTAATTGGAGTCTAATCAAACCATTAGAATGGCACAGAACTCTGACTTCTGAGCTGAAGCAGATGGACTTTGAATTTTTTTTTTTTTTATTTTTTATTTTTTTTGGTTTTTCAAGACAGGGTTTCTCTGTGGCTTTGGAGCCTGTCCTGGAACTAGCTCTTGTAGACCAAGCTAGACTCAAACTCAGAGATCAGCCTGCCTCTGCCTCCTGAGTGCTGGAATTAAAGGTGTGTGCCACCACCGCCCGGCTCAGTTCTTTTTATAAGCAGAAGCCATTTTCTTTTGGGATAGTTGTTGTTAAATTTTCCTAAGAAATTGTTACCAATCATCACTAGTTATCCACAATTGCATAATTTTAACATTAGTGTAAGGTAGTACAATCTCAGCAGGATCCGTTTCTGACAATTGACAAAGTCTTATTCTTCCCTTTAGAATTAATTCAGAAACCTTTCCTATGTAGGCTTTTTTCCTTTTAACTCTGTGAACTAGGAATATCTATTCTAAAATATTGTCATACCTTTGTATAATGTAATATTTTGATTTCATTCTAAATGCTTGCTTTGAATCAAAGTTCGGAGCTAGCCACTAGCTGACCAAAATTAACCATAGAGGTTTGGAGGACTGAATAGAGATAGGAGACAGGAAGTAATAAGTCAGGGCTGAGAGGGTCTCAGCCTTTTGGAAGAAGGAATTAAAGAGATAGGAGGTCACTGGTGGCTGTTTCCCTGCTTCTCTGATCTTTCAGGTTCTTTTTTTTAAAGTTTTCATTTTAAGTTTTTATTTATTAATTGTGTATACAGCGTTCTGTCTGCACACCAGAAGATGGCACCAGATCTCATTACAGATGGTTGTGAGCCACCATGTGGTTGCTGGGAATTGAACTCAGGACCTCTAGAAGAACAGTCAGTGCTCTTAACCTCTGAGCCATCTCTCCAGCCCCAGATCTTTCAGGTTCTTACCCTGATTTCTGAGTCCTTACCTTTTATTGGTAAAGAATAATTAGATAAACACTTCCAAGTCCAGTAGGGGAATAAGTAGAAGGTAAATTTACTAAAATACATTCATTCAACCATGAGATCTAATTGATCTACACAGGCATCTTGCGGTTCCTGTTCTACTTGAGCCAATTCCCTTTCTGCTTCAGCTGTTAATAGCCTTGCGCTGTTGAAATCTGAGTCCCCTTGCGAGATTTGAAACAATTTACTTAATTCTTGAGTAGGCAATCCAATGGAAGGCTGCAACCAGTTAATATCACCCAAAATTTTTTGAAAACCATTTAGAATGTGAAATTGATCCCTTCTAATGTGTACCCTTTGTGGATGGATTCTCTGTTTATTTAATTTAAATACTAAGTAATTAAGAAAATCCCCTCTTTGTATTTTTTAGGAGCAATCTGTAATTCCTAACGGGGTAAAATGGTTTTCTCTACTGCATTAGACATTCTTTCCAAGGTATCTGTGTCAGAAGCAGCCACTAGACTCTCATCCGATAACAGTAAATAACGGGCTGAGGACACCATTGAGCAATGGGAAGAACCACTTCCGGGGGTGGATGCACAAAATACTGACACAGAGTTGGACCGTTCTATAGTCCTCGAGGAAGGGTTTTCCACAGGTATCATCTACAGGCTGGGCATTGTTATTAGTAGGCCCTGCAAAAGCAAATTTTTCTCTATCTTGTTCTTGTAAAGGGATAGCGCAGGAACAGTCTTGTAAATCAATAACTATAATAGCCAGTCTTTAGGTAATAAAGAAGATAAAGGAGCTTCGGGCTGTAAATACCCCACAGGCTGGATTACTTTGTATATGGCTCTCAAATCAGTCAACATTCTCCATTTTCCAGATTTCTGTTTTATTACAAATACAGGAGAATTCCAAGGCCAGGCAGTGTCTTCCTGTGCGCAGCATCTAACTGTTCTTTTCCTAGTTGCTCAAGCGCCTGCAGGTTTTCTTCCGTTAAGGCCACTGCTCCAGCCGTACAAGCTTAGTGTTAGTTATTTTAAAGGCAGAGCCGCTGGGCTTTGGGCAGTGGCCCCAACCCCAAATATGGACAGCCGGTCCCTGCCTTGTCCTGCTGCTGGACAGTTTGTTTAGCCCGT